AGTGTTTTAAACTTTATTTTACATTTTTGAGTTAGTTTCCAAGTGATTTTGCAATCCCTCCTAATCCCCGGTTAAGAACGATCCCTACTTATACATATACTACAATTGTCACAAGAGAGTTTTAATTTGTGTGCTTATTTAGTTCGCATCAGAAATGCAGATGTGAGCTTCTGATGAAGTGATAGACTTTGTCGGCCTACGACATCTATCATCCTTGCAAAGTAGTATTCATGATTGACAACTGCATTCAAGATGCTTTCAAAAAGCTCTCTCCTCATCCAAAACCTCCTTTGAAAATCATGAGCATGATATCGGACGTTCAATGAAATAATCTTTCATCATTCGGTCATGGCACTGTTCTCTATCACGTTGCACAAATGAACGTCCTGTGATAGAACCACGATAGCTAGATTCGGTTTAGTGCTCATATTGCATAAGCAAGTTTGCAAATTCAGCTTATGCGCTATTCATTTCTGCATCTGCATTGTTAAGGCTTGCTTGGTATTGTGCCATCAACATTGTCAAGCTAAGGCTTCTTCTATCACCCATTGATGAGATATTGAGGATTTTTAGGAAACAAAAACACTTTGAAAGTTGAAAGATTGGTGAATATGTTGTGTGATGGTTTGATATTCAACTTGTGTTTTTGTAGAGGATGATTGAAGGTTTGCGTTTCATGTGTGTAGGTTTTTGTTTCATGCATCTCATGTGTTTTGTATGTATTTGATCTATGTTTCGTGTGTGCCATGTGTTTCACATGTTTGGTGTGTTATACATTTCAATCAAGTGTTTTGTGTGTATTTTGTGTGTGTCATGTGTTTCACATGTTTGGTGTGTTATACATCTCCATCATGTCTTTTGTATGTGCTTCATGTGTGTGTAAACACGAATACTCCTACGATGAATGAAATAAGAACACGTGTACAAAATAATATTTTGTATTGATTTTAGGGTCACAATCTCTTTTACAATTTAATCCTCTGATTCTATCTTCGTAAGGTGTAGATTTGTTGATGGGCTGTTGATCCAAAGGGCAGTCGGGGCTTGGTCTAGGGATGTACAATGGTGCAGATTTGTTGATATTGTTGAACCAAAGGCCGTCGGGGCTTGATCATATGATGAACGAGGATGAACGGATCTTTAAGGGCATTTGGGGCTTGATCTTGATGAACAGTTGTGTGGATTTCTTCAAGGGCCGTTGGGCTTGATCTTGATGAACGAGGATGAATGAATCTTCAAGGGCCTTCGGGGCTTGATCTTGATGAACAATGAATGGATCTTCAAGGGCCTTTGGGGGTTTGATCTTGATGAATAGTCGAGTGGATTTCTTAAAGGATTTGACGAAGAACAAAGAGAGCTTTCTTGATCCTTTGGGATTCTTGGGAATTTGGATGCTTGAAAGCTTTGGAGTTTCATAGCTTCAAGGATTTGGGGAATTCTCTTCCAAGTTGGGGGTAGAGAAATATATATGTGAATTGGTCCCTTGAAATGGATGAATGGCCTTGTATTTATAGAATTTTCAAACGCCAAATTTTGAATAAAATATTCAGATGAAATAAATCATTTATGTCAGGTGTTGACATGTGTCCTATTTGATGACTTATACAATTTTTTTGATTTTTCGTTGAGTCACACGCTACGTGTAAAATTTATGTGACACGTGAACTTTGAAATTTTAATACGATCAACATTTATTTCATCAAAATTTTGATGTCTACATTGTATTTCATTTATTTTGTGTTATCATGATTTTCATATTCTTTCCATTGAGTTTCATGTATTGATTTAGTGATTTTTCAAAATTTATCGGAATTTTAATATTTTTAGGTTAAAATATTCATAAAATTAATTTATGGTAGTCTACATAATTTTTCTTTTAAAAAAAATTAGCCTAAATTCATTCTTTAATATTCTTGGCTAAAATTGTAGGCCAAAGGAGTTAGAACAGAAAACTGTTTATAGGCTAAAACCTAAATTTTTTGTCCTAGAAATTTTAGGTTTTAGGCTAAGGGTTAGAGATGGTCTAAGTTAAATTTAACACTGTTAGCTTTTTATAAAATTAGTTAAAAAAAAAACTAAAAATTAAAGTAATGCAAAAAAGCCAAGAATAACCTCTTAGGTTCCACCCACTTCAAGCCATTGCCGCCTATCGGCACACTACAAAACTAGCAAACATTCTGTCAATTTATTAGGATTTGGGGATTGAAGGAAGATATCTAGCCAATTGAATATTGGTGAAATCTGTAAGGATTGAACCGACGACGAAGGTCGAGATTTAAATCGACGCAAACACAATTCTAAGATCCGATTCGACTTCACCGACAAAAGGGAGGTAGGGAGATAAATACAAAGAAAGGAAACCCTGCCGATGATGAAATCTGTAAGGTTTGAACAAACACCAAGATTTGAACCGACGCAAAGACGACTCTAAGATCCGATTCGGCTTCACTGACGAGAGGGAGGGAGATAATAGAAAGAAAGGATGCTTGGACTATAAGATCCTACATCCCCAACAAAGGAAACCTTGCTGATGGTGAGAAAATGCAGCTGACAAGCATGGTGGCGAGATTCGGGGGTTGGTGGTGCTACATGGATCAAACATAACTCTAACAAAACTGCAAAAAAAAAGAAAATTAAAAAAATTAAAATAAACCCAACACCTCCATCTCAAATCAGATTGCCGAAAATTAAAATCAAAATCGATTTGCGAAAAACGAAATCCCAAAATGAAATCAAAACACGTATTAGGGATTCGTAGGAAAGAGAAGGAGAGTTTGTGAGTCATCTCCCTCACCCCAAGCCCAACCGAACCTCTCCCGTAACCTCACTGCTGGTCCCTCCTCACCCCATCCCCTTAACTCTGGTGCTTTGGAGAAGAACATGAAATTAAATTTGAAGAAAGTATGGAGATGGTAGTTGGAGATGAAGGAGGTGGCTGAGGAGGTAGCTGGGTCAGTTTATTTTTCCTTTGTTTATTCATCTATTTTTTTAAAACCCAGAAAATGGAAGTCTCTTCTTGATTTGAAGAAGCCTTCTTTTCTGTCGGTGTTTTGAAGTAGCTGGGTTGGTCGTGTTCCATTTTCTGAGTTGTGTTCATGATTTTTAATCTTATCTTTTTTTTTTAAGTTTACTCCACGTGGCAACACACCAGTGGTTGTATGGGTTTCCATGTTAGGCACGTCATTAAAGTAACAATAATGTTATTCATATCATGTTTCTTGTAGTATATTTTCATACAACTTAGGTGGCATTGATGTGGACAACCACATCATTTGAATTAATCCGATTTTTAAATTTAGTTCTTTATTTAATAAACGAATAATTAAGAAAAATTAGTTAATTAAATGGTGATTGTGGTATATAAAGAGGAGTCTTTCTCTTTCATTTCATAAGGTTTTGCAAATTTTTCAAATGATGTGGCTGTCAACATCAGATGCCACCTAAAGTGGTATGAAAATGTGGTATAAAAACATAATATGAATATCATTACTCGAAAAATAAACGGAATGGGACAATAGGGACGACATTGATTGTGGCACCAAATTTCAGGAACAACATTGAACGATTTTCAATTTCAGAGATTAAAGTGAGAAATGAGGTCAATTTCAGAGACTATTTGTGATAAAACCCTATTATTTTTAATGAAACGATCAATATTTCTTTAACCCCAAATTTACCATCCAAACTATCCTCACAAACTCAATTCAATATATAAATTTATGTTTACACTCATTTAAAAAAAAAAATCACGTAACTTCGTTAAACTTTTAAACTTACAAGGCTAACAATATGTAATTGCCGGCAAAGATTTATCCGCCCAATTAATTAAAATAACAAAACCAGAAACTACATGCGAAATTCCATGTCAAGAATGAACAATTTCATTAAAATAAAAGCAAAACTTTTTCTTAAAAAAAAAAAAAAAGAAAAGAAAAAAAGAGAGAGAGCTAATTAATAGCCTTGTGTTTGTATAAACTCATGATGATTCAGGACTTATAAGCCAGGTCTGCTTTGTATGGTACTGTCATGGTATCGAATATGTTGTAACTGCACAGATGCAAAGCCTGCTTTGGTTTGAGTTTGTTGAGTTCTATCTGTAGCTTGGCGAGGCGTGTTGGCAATGGCTTACACAACGTGAACCTTGCAAGTGCAGATGGAAAACCTGGTAATATGGTTTACTTGTTTAGGGTTTCACAAAGTATAAAGGCGTGAATCGTTATAGGCAGCTCTTCCCTGAATCTTTAGAAGCATAATATCATCGGGCATCCATCATTCATCAGATAGGTAGGTATATTGTAAATAATTACCATTCTAACGGAATAATTTTTTTTCGTTGAAGACTACTTTAGCATATGTCATTTTCTGTATTTAAGGTTTTGGTGAATATTAGAATGTTACTTGGCAATTATTGAATGTATCAAATTTACGAAAAAAAAAACTTGCATATGTAGATTCATACAATGAAGATTTAAAACTTCAAAATCATTATTCATTGGTCAAAAAGAGATTGTTTTTCTCTATGAGAGCGTCTTAGGTTTTAGTCGAAATGAACGTAGGATAAAAATTGCATGATAATAGAGTTTGATTATTAAGTGTGGGTTTATTAATAAACTTTAGTTTTAGAGTTAATTTCATCTTGTGCTTGATTCTAATTATGCAATAGGATAAAAAGATAATTTCCATTTACAATTTAAGTTAGGTGGAGAGAGAGGTTATGTGGGTTCAAATAAAATTTTCAATTGTTATTAACACTCCAAAAATCTCATTTGACATTCCAAACTTAAAAAAATTTAAAAAATTAAAAAAAAAACAGTTTAATTAAACAATGAAAATTTAACGGTGTTGGATATGAAGTTAAATTGAGGGACTAGTGTTACAAATTAGAAAGGGGACACAAAAAAACACGAAATAGGGCCCGTGGCCTATCTATTGAATCCGGCTTCAAGTTTTTGTCTCTAAGTTCTAATGTTGTTCAATTACCCCAATTTCATGAGAGCCACAGGTGAGAGGTAAACTTATCTTCACCATTTTTCAGTTGAGGTGAGGATTGCGTGACTTTTGTGTCTTACAATTTTTTTAATTTTTATTTTTCATATACCAACGACACCACAACTACAAGGCTGCTTCATCTCTCTCTCATGGATACGTCGGCAGCCGATGACAACTCCGACGAACCCTTGACCCCAGTAGGTCGGCTCCTTCTCCAACCCGAAATGAACCAAATAATCCACTGTGCCATGGGATTCAAAAACTCCATAGACATAGGCGCCGTAAAGTCTCACCTCAAAACCTCCCTTCTCCTCTCCCACCCAAGATTCTCAAGCCTCATGCTCCGCGACTCCCGCGGCCTCCAGCACTGGCATAATGCCCCCAACGTTGACCTCGACCGCCACATCATTGTCATCCACAACCCCGTCACCACATCTCCCGTCGATCACGAGACCGCAGTTAACGAATACTTGGCCGACCTCTCCACAAGCTCTACTAGACTGAGCGCGAACAAACCCCTCTGGGAACTTCACCTCCTCATGGCCCACAACTGCGGCATCTTCCGAATCCACCACGCTTTGGGAGACGGGGTTTCGGTCATGTCCCTATTCTTGGAGAGTTTCAGGACGAGAGGCTCAAATGGAAATGAAGAAAAGATTTTGGGTCGTGGAAGGAGGAAGAGAGTGAATGGTGAAAAGGGATGGTGGGGTTTGTTGATTCGGCTTGTGGAGATGTTGTGGTTTAGCTTGGTGTTTTTGGTGGAGAATGCGATGAGGAGCTTGTGGCTTTGTGACCAGAAAACAGCGATAAGTGGCGGCGATGGAGTTGAGCTCTGGCCTAGGAAGCTGGCCACGGCTAGGTTTCGGCTTGAGGACATGAAGCTCGTCAAGAAAGCTGTTCCGAATGCGGTAAGTGACTTGTTAATTCTTCTGTGTTTATTGGTTTTGATAGGGATTTTACCACGTGCCACAGTAGGGATAAAATCACACAAAATACTTGCAAGACAACAAGGTTGTTGTAATATAAACGGTTCAAGCAAGGTCGTTTTTCGCTGGGATTATTTGAAACAATGTATGGAAAACCCTAATCCTAATTAATTACCTGAAAGTCAAGATTGGAAAATGTCAATTTTGAATTTAAAAGTATTAAAAACGAATTTTAATAAAAGTAATTTAAAGAAAGCAACTAATGACCAATTAAAAAGGAAACAAATCAAAGAGAAAAGATTTTTAGAAACAACTTTGGAAAAACACTAGGGTTCCGCCATCACCCTAACAATCCTACGTAGTACTTCTAAATCCTTATGAATTACACATGCATATTTTGAAGGTTAGATTTTCCTAAAGTATGCTCTACTTGGAACCCCCCAATATAGAATGTATATTTAACATGCAACCCGTCCGTGGCGTTCAGATCGAATGTGAACATGCAAGAGTCATTAAGTTTTGTGAAGACCTTTTGAAAACCATATAACTCCTAAGACGTGTCGTTCATCCTTAGTAGTTACACATGTTAACCACAAGAAGCCTTAGTCAATTTTAGGGACAGTCCTCCGCCAAAATTGCATTAAATTATTTTTCTAAATATCCTAATAGTCGCGAAGCACTAAGACAAATAGATTGTTTAAAGCACAATGATTAACAATCCAAAACTTGCATGCATAAATTCATAAGAAAATTAAAAAGAGACTACATATTCTTGCTGAGGATCATGGCCTCACCCTAGCGAAAAGGGGATTAGTTACGCATATTCATAAATAAAATCAACATAATTGTATTAAATTAGAAAAAGGATGAAAACACCTGAAGTGTAAGTCTTGAAAACTCCAAAACTTTAGCCAAACTATTCTCTCAAAAGTTGCATACGCCCAAAAAAAATCCACCCCCCCTAGGTTTTTGCCAAAAAGCTTATTTATACAACTCTCTTTAAAATCCTCCTAGTCAAAGGTCTTAGAATCCAACTAGGAGACCTAAAAACTTGAAATAAAATAGGAAACATAATCCTAAATTAACTTGGTAATTCGCCTAGAAATCTGCACAGCCACGTATTGGACCCAAATCAACTCCAAAACTGGCCCAAAGTAGCTGGATTTAAAGCTTGAACTATTCTGAACACTTCTCTAGAAGGCTACGAACCCATATGAGGTCATCTTGGGCTTCAAAAACGCAAGTCGAACCCAGAAACGTCACTTTTCAGCAACGCGCACTGCTTCTTTATTTAATTGCCAGAAAATAACTGCTTTGTAGAAAAATCCCAAATTTTGATAAGAACAAGACAAGAGACACACGAATGTCCTCCAATTTGAATCACTCCAAAATTCGTCCGTTTGTTCATGTTGTGCTCCAGAGGAAGTCGAATGTCCTACATTAAAAATATAACGCAAAGTATCAAAATTCTACCAAAATAATTACCAAATTAATATTAAGAATAGGGTAAAATATATAATATAATATTAACTCATCAGGTTTGTTTCAGAAATAGAATAATGTATTATACTTGTTCATAGCTTAAACCTTCAAGATTCAATTTGACGCATGACATACAACATAAATACCAACAAATTATACGGGGTAAAAGTCTCCTAATCTGTATCAAATATTCTCAGAAATCTTTTTCCCTGTAAAAAAAACCCCTAATTGGATTAGTTTTAATTGAAGAGAAAATTTTCAGCGTGTTGGGAACATAGTCTGGTATATCAAGTGTTATAATTAGTGGTGAAGCCAGAAATTCTGTTAAGGAGAATCAATCTTAAGTGACTATAAAATTATGATTAATTGAGTTTATAAGTGAAAATTACATAAGAAATGATCATGAGTATGAACTTATTTAGCATAAAAAATATTTTAAGTTTCCAACATTGATATCGTGATTTAATTAATTACATTATAGCAGATGATGCTCTATAACAATAACAGAAAGCAATCATGCATATACACCTTGGTGCAAATTCGAATAAAAATAATTGGACTCAACTACAAGCAAATTGCATTTGTGAGGAGTGTCAACTATAAATATAAAAGCCTAGCTACATCATTATAGCACATATAAATACAACATTTCCAGATCGTGAGAAGGGTCATATGATCCTCCTAGGTTCTAACTGGCTCCACCAATGATCATAATACAAGCGACTGGAATTTTTTTTTTTAAGTATCCAACCACTTGTATTTTGACACTTGATGTACCGGACCGTATTCATGGTATACTGAAAAATCTCTCCTAATTAAATAGCAAACAATCAACCTCGTTGAATTGTGGGTTTTTCTGAAATCATCATTACGTTTTCTTTTGATTTTTTTTCTTTTCCGTTTGGGTTCTCTCAGTATCCAAACACAACAACATATATGATAAATACAGAAACTATTTTGGACGTACTATCCACACACTCATTTTAACCTCTTACACACTCTTGTTAGTTTATGTTTAATCTTCTTCATTTCATTCAATCAAACAACCGAAAGTTGAGAACATTGTATTTGAGGTAAAAAGGAGCATGTGAATAACACCACCCAAATATTTAAGAAAAGGGCAAAATTTTCTTTTGATTCATTCAATTGTTTTCTTTTCTCAAAAAATTTAATTAAATGCATAAGTAACTATGGTTTGTTAAATAGATATGTGACACGATTCTTGAGGGAGATGGAGGTAACGGTCACCTTGGGTTAGGGGGTTGAGAGGGGTGGGGTAATTGTCACCTTGAGTTAGGGGGTTAAGTGAAAATAGACTCGACTGAGTTTGAATTCAAGTTGAGAAGTACTTCAAATATAACACTAAAAGACAAGAGATGGCTTGAAAAGCACTTCACATGAGCTCTAGTTTTTTGAGACCTTAATGTCAACCAAGCAAAGAGATTAAGTACAATTTAAAATATAGACAATCAAGTCGAAAGTTTTATACACGTCTAAAGTTGAACATTTTTCCCTTTTATTTTACAAAGGAAGAAACACAAGGTTTGGACTTTGTATATGGGCATATTTGGTTGTATCTCTTCGATGATTAAAAGGGAAGTAAAAAAAATTATTAGATGGTAGTTTAACATTGTCATGTGACATAATTCGTTCATTTCATTGGTCAGAATAAAGTATATTTTTTTCTTAAAAGGGGTTCTAACTAATAAGGAATTCTCACAGGGTTTTGACTACAAACTTTACGGGCTATAAGTTATGATTTTAGTCCCCGTATTTGTGGCAAAATAACTTATGGCAAAATAATTACATTTTGGCTCCTATAGTTTCAATTTTTATGACCTGATCTTGTATTTTACTAATTGTTACATTTAAGACAATAACTTATGAAAAAAAAAATGATTTACACCCTCAACTTTTGTCGTCCTGTACTCTTTTTGCTATGTTTATGTTCCTTGATTTATTGTTGATTTATTCAATCTTGTGGCTTGAAAGAAAAGCAAGAATAGCAAGAATACATGATAAGTGGGAGTTTGCAAATTATTTCCGAACTTAATTCCATCATGTTTTCGTTGAAAATGTGTTATGTCACCCGCAAGGTAATTATGACGAAAAAGTTGAGATGAAATTAAATTGTCTTTGAATTACAACCATTAATAAATTGTAAAGATTGAATAGAGACAACCACATCAAGTGACCCAGTGGTAAGGGCACAGGCTTGGCACCTTAATAAACAAAAAAATATGAGAGGTCTCGTGTTTGATACTCCGAGCTGGTGAGTCTATTTGATCTTGGCCACGAGCAAGGTGAAATTCTTTATAGCCTCTCTGGATTTGGAAGGTGTGGATAACTGTGGTTTGCCATTAGTTATCATTCTTTTACAAAAGAAAGAAATAGAGACAATTGAAACTACAGTGACCGAAATAGAACTTCACTCAACCACTAAAAGCATGATTTGGCTATCATGCAGACCATCAACGATGTTCTTGTTGGCGTGGTTTCGTCAGGGCTGTCAAGGTACCTAGATCACCAAACACCAAATGGTAATTAATGTCATTCTTGAATTTGGGTTTTGTTCTAGTGCTTGTGCTTCCCATTTGAAACAGATCAATTATCAATGGCAATCACGATAACCAAGTTATAGCTAAACTTCATTGTCCAGCTCTGCATGACGGATTTCGAATTACAGGCCTAGCTATGGTCAATTTAAGAGAGCAACCTGGATTGCAGGTTCGTCGTGATTTATAAACTTTCATTTATATTATATATATTGGTTGTTTTAAGAACTTTTATAGGGTTCTTGCTATATTTCTTCTTTCTAATTTTGCAGGTGAATCCTAACTTACTGATGCATAACTGAGTTTTGGTATATATTTTCAGGAGGCCTACTCACAATTTTCCCAAAACTAACAAATTAATAAGCATACGAAACACAAGAAAATTAATTGCATAAACGGCACCTGGACCTTTTTTACTTTCATACAATTACCACGTAAACTAAGCACTCCGATTCAAACAAGTTTCATCCACAATTCTGTCATATGTGATCGCGTGACTTGCACGATGATTCCTTTTTCTTAGTTTAGCAGTTCAACCACCAGCTTCGTCCAAACAAACCAGTTTTTAGAGACACATATCCCAGAGTTGAAACTTGAAAGCATAGGGAAATGTTAGGTTAGGCTTGTGAGATGCCGCGGTAAGATTTTGATAGTAGCAGTGAGATGCATGTTAGGTTAGGTTTGTGCTTGTTGATGAGTTTGCAGGAAGTGGTCCGGAATGGCTGAGGTTTATTTGGGGGGGAATAGCTTAATTCCCGCGCATATGTTCTAGCGTGCAAGTCTCACGGAAAATTATTAGATGAAGGTTCAATATTATTATCAAATGATTTTAAGTATGTTAGTTGTATCTACAACAGCTACAAACCCGTAACTGAAGTTACGTTGTATCTATAATTAATTAAGACGAGAAGACTTAGCATAAAACAAACCACCACAACCAAATGAAATAAGGAACTCCCCCAGGAAAATAAATAAATAAACAAAATTATGAAAGTGAAAACAACTTTAAACAGCTTTTAATTTTTGACTTTTAGTTTTCATTCTGTATATTTGTCACATATATCTTCAGCCATCCTTTGTCACTTTTTTTATATCTCTCATAATCACACATATACTTGCTCCTTATCTTTAGCACAAAATTGAAAACTAAAACTTTAAGCCAAAATCGTTATCAAATAAACCCTTAATTTGTCATGTTTTTCAACCCAACCCCAAAAACCTAGATAAGCACCCTAATTGTTGGGAATGAATCTCACATTGATGAGAGGAGGGATCTTGCTTGTGCTTATAAGTTGTTGGGCTACTCCCATATTGCCAATTGGTTTTATGGTGAAACCTCAACCTTCTTCATCATATCAGAGCAGGTTGTCCCACATGTGAAGCCCAACGGCCACACATGCTCCACGTCACCCCGTTGTGTTGTCCACATGTTAGTCTTAAAAATTCGCCACACATGAAAGGGCGTGTTGAGAATGAGTCTCATGTTGATGGGATAAGGGACCTTGCATGGGCTTATAAGTAAGTTGGTTTACTTCCCATATTGCCAATTGGTTTTATGATGGAACCTCAACTTTCTTCATGGTATCAGAGCAGGTTGTCTCATATGTGAAGCTCAATGGCCACACACGCTCCACATCACCCCGTTGTGTTGTCCACGTGTTAGGCTTGAAAATTCGCCACACGTGGGGGGGCCGTGTTGAGAATGAATCCTACAATGATGAGAAGAAGGACCATGCATGTGCTCATAAGTAATTGGGCTACTCCCCAAATTACCAATTTGTTTTACGATGAAACGTCAACTTTCTTCACTTATCATCCCACGAATATGATCAGGTATCCAATTTGATGGTAGTTGGTTGGAGGTAATGATTGTACGAATATGATCAGGTATCCAATTTCTTGGAAAGCAACTCTGAATCAAGCTGGGGTAACAAGTTCGGCATGTTTCTCCTACCTATTTATTACCATAAAAGCAGTGATCTTGATCCTCTAGTGCACCTCAAGAGAGCTAAGCTGGTTCTTGACAGGAAGAAACAATCTCTAGAAGCTGATTTTTCGTACAAAGTTGGATGTTTTCTAATCACCTACTTTGGAGCAAAGGTAATCAACATGTATTTTTAAGAAAAATCTGTTGTGCTTCTAACATAAACGCTTCGACAAAAAATGGTTATGAGTAACAGTGTTTCCTACAAAATCATTTCTAAATGTGCCTCAAATATTCAAAAATGTATATAAAAAGAAAACAGTTTCATTCTACTGCAGGTTGCTAGTTGGCTTCTTTACAGGATGGTCTGCAATACTAGCTTTACCATTTCAAATATAATTGGCCCGCAAGAAGCAATTGCAATTGGGGGCAACCTTGTAACTTACCTTAGAGTGAATACGTGCAGCCTACCCCAGGTATATATATGACGCTAACCAATTAGAAATGAGTGGTTCAGATCGTAGAATGACGTTGTGAAGGGGCGTCATGTTACATTCTAGAAAATGCCAGATGTAGCAAATCAGAAGTATCTGTAATGTAACTGGAATACTTTTGCTGGTTGGTAACGCAGGCACTTACAATGCACATGGTGAGCTATGCTGAAAGAGCTGACCTGCAAATTTTGGTGGCCAAAGATATCATTCCGGATCCAACATTTCTCGCAAAATGCTTTGAAGAGGCATTGCTTGATATGAAGGAAGCAGCATCCAGCCAGCCATGAGTAGAACCTAGGATATGACCTCTCTATATTTTATGGAATGTGATGTAAGAATGTCATCGGTGGGAACCTACGAAGGAAAGCATGCATCTTTCGTGAACCGAAACAATTGAGGATTTTAATGTAATCGGCACAGTATATGAGTAGCCAAATATCTGTCGGTGGCTAATCTAGCAAAATCTATCGTTTGACAAAAAGAAAGAAAATCCATTTTAGCTTTTAGAACAATAGACCATCTCTTTAATACTGTTGGAAAATTTAATCAAAACGAGTTAAATCATTTAAATACATTGATGGGTTGTTATGATTCATGAATTAGGTTTTGATGTTGGATTATATGGCATGTGCCATGTTATAGCTGATAGGATTGGTTAGAGATAAGGATGACATTTCAGCATTTGTTTTAGCTAAAGTCAGTTATATTAGCTATAGTAGCTTATTGTGTAAGCAAGAAAGTTACAGAGTATAAGTGTAAGAATTGAGATCATTTATAAGATACGATTGAATTGAAGCAAATACAAAGAAACACATTTGAGCTTTCTCCCTCTCTCTAGATTTCATTGTTTGAGGAGAAATTGGGCAACATTTGGCTTAACATGAACAGAGATGCAATCGTTGACTCTTTAAGACACAACTATATATTATGAAGAGTCATTTCCACACCTAGATAAAGATCTTATCTCATTGAGTCATGAGTCAATTACATTCAGTCATATAAGTTCACGAGAATTTTGTCATACATAAATTGAATTTTTGAGAGAGTTTAGCATACTTGTGGTCAGTGGCGGAACCAAAAATTTATCCTAATGGGGCACAACAAAAGAATAATACTTGGCTACTCAAATAATGAGGAGTTCCTACTCAGAACAGTTTGTTGCCGATCCATAGAACTTAGTGTTTGATCATAACCGTTTATATTATAAAATTATTATATAAGGATCATCTATGCAAAAATCAATTAAAACTAAGTTCATTTAGTCATCGAACTATATAAAAACAAATGAATGAAATTAGTAAAACCATTACGAATTGTCTATATATTTGCTACAATAAATTGACTAATCGACTTTAATTTTAATTCATTTTTTGCATAGATGATCTTTACAAAGTGATTTATAATACGAACGATTTTGATTATAAGCAAAAACCTCTGTCATTCAAACATGAGGAGTTTTGAGTAAGAATTCTTACTCATTTTTAAGCAGCCCAGCATTATTCACAACAAAATAGCTTCGAAAATTGGTTACCTTCTCCTTTCAAAAGTTTATATTCTGTAAGCCACATGATTCCATTGAAAGATATGCATTGTATCTAAAATTTAGTTTTCTCAAAATAAATTAAAGCAAACCAATCATATTAAATGTTTTAGGGCTCCCAAATAGGTGTTTGACACATTAAAAAACACTGGAGATGTCACATCCCGACTTCACCGTAGCACGATATTATCCGCTTTGGCCATGCCTTCACGGATTTGTTCCTGGGCAAGAGAATCTCACTGCCCAAAATGCATCATGCTAGGAAGAGAGGGTGTTGAAGTTCCTTTCGAGTGCAAATATAAGGATAGTATAGCGGCACAAGTAAGGGTGCCGAACCGCAGGGACTGAGAAACAACTTAGTAAAACCTTTGACTCTTACAAATTAGCATTAGTTAAAGACTCCTATGACTTAAAATGGGGGGTTTGAGCATTAGTTAAAGACTCCTATGACTTAGAAACGTTTTTAGGACATAAATTTGACTTCAAATGAGCATAGGCCTTCCCCTAAACATTCCTGAATCAGTGATATGATATTTTAACTTATCCCTTTCAAATGCACAACTAAGATGTTCACATATCTAGCATGGCATATAACTAGACTGTATGAATCCTTTCTTACTTTGCATGTTAGATGCATGGCATATACATAAAACTTGTATTTGTAGGTGCAACTTAGCGTGGCATATACTCAGATTTAGCACCTAGAAACTCATTAAGAATGAAGAGGATTATGAACATCACATGAACCCTAGAACTTGGCATTTATCCTAGAACTTCATGGAATCAATTTAAATGATTAGTTCTGAACCTAACCACATGTTGCTAATGAATGAAAGAAGATATGGTAGTCATCCTTATCATTCTCAATAGAAAGCAAACATAAACAAGGTAGCTAAGCTTGAAAATATGTGCTTGAAATGATTGAAACAGAAAACCGATTCTAACTTGCAAATGAAATTGATAAACTAAATCTGCATCATAACATTAATTCAATCATGTCTAGAGCTTCAAAGCAGCCCTAAGTATCCATAAACTAAATTAAAAACATAACAGAATACATAAAAAGTTAGGAAAACTAGAACCTAGAAACTGCTCAAGGTTGAAGACTCCCACTCTCTCCAGATTCTCCTTTTTTTTTTCCTCATGTAGTGTATTTGTCTCCTATTGAAAGGCTTAGGACTTATCTAACATCTGGCACATTTACATCCTTGAATTGACTCTCATTTATAACTCATAACAATCAGCTTTTAGTATTGGAGTAACTGAAAACTAGCTGTTATCATAATTTGTAACTGAAGAGCTCCTTTTTATTCTGTTATAACTTCTTATCGAAACCTCCAAATCACAAGCTGTAAAGACCATTAGAAATAAGACTTCCATGGCTTTCCAATCATATATTGCCCATTTTCTAATTCGTTCTGAGCACTTCAGGGCAAAGCTCGCAAGTTAGCTGTTCTGCAAGGGCCTTTTTTGGAGGATCTTGGGCCACTTGTTACAATATTCAAAATAAGATGATTTCGTCAAGTCCTTACTTTCATCCTGAAATACAATACAAACAACAAAATACCTTATGATGTATAGAGATTTTAAGTCAAAAACCTAAGTAAAAGAGGGCATATAAATATAACTTTATGCACTCAACAAATACCCCCAAACTTAGATTTTGCTAGTCCTTGAGCAAACCAAAACTAAAAGAAACAAAAGCAACACAAAAGACAAACATAAGTTAATCTAAGACCAATTTTGTTGGTGAGATGAATGCATTTAGCTTATGCATCAAGCCTTTAAACCTTTAGGCATCCCTAGTTGGAGGAGTTGTGTCTTCCAAGGGTTTAACAGTGACGGTACCCATAAACGTCTGAAACAACCTACAAAACAATGATTAGAGAAATTTTGAAACAAGATAATAAGAATCAAAGCTCAACTATGCCTCATATTCCTAACTTTGACTTTACCTTTCCAGCAATCAAATCTACATGTTAGTGAGGTGCTCTAGCTCAAATTCAACATGTTACTATGTTACAAGCTCAAGCAAAGAAGATAAGATTCGTCTCAACTCTAATCTCACAGATTCACTCTTTCACTTGATTCTTAGGGCTTGCTCTCAACAAATAGATGTGAGTGAGGTTATGTAATGGAAAGCAAAATATTCGTACACATAATTCCATTAGAAACAAAAGAACTTTCTAGACAGATCTCATGAAATGAATCAAATACTAAGAATAGGATAATACTTACTAACACCCATGAATACATCTTCAAAGATCAACTAAGTCTTTCATAAGGTTGTAATGTAAGGTTTTTAGGGTAGGTGAAAGGATGGATAAGGATTACTAGAACTTGAGATATACCAAAGTGTCTTCCTTGCAAAACCACCTCTTGAATTGATCTTCTTTTCTTTACTTGTTCTCAGCGTCCAGGACCTATGGATTAAGACATTGCATCTTCTTCTCTTTCTTTCTTTTTTCTTCTTAAAACGTTTTCTTTTTCCCTTTTTTTTTTCTTTTCTCTTATTTTGCAATTCCAGCCCATGTTACCTCGGTACACGCCACTTTCTTAGTTTAAAGCTTGAGCATTATATTTGTCTTCATCACTTTGGTATTCCCTAAGCTATAGGGAATGACTATTATGGGGGAAAATGAGTAGAGTTTAGTGTGGGTGATGAAAGATATGGCTGTGTTTGCAATTCCAAATGGGTAATGTCTCACATAACAAAGGTAGGGAATTAGGCCATTTACTAGTTAAAACATGCACAACCTAGCATCGTCTCAATGAGTTCATTCATGGGTGATAATAAGCACAAGTGTCCACAAAAGAGAATAACTCTTAGTATTCAATCAAAAATGAATAATGAGATCATTTGAAATGAATTTGAAAGAAAAAGATCGAAGTAGAAACAGTTTAATCCCTCTAAAAGAAGCAAATAGGCACATAATTTCACAAAAGGCAATCTCCACTATCCTTCTTCTAAGGCTTGAACTAGTAACTTTTCACATGTATTCTTAGAATTGAGAGCAATGGTATTATGTAGCAGATACAACAACTTTCAAAGCATAGCCAAAGTTATGATTGCAAGACTAAGTTAAACATGTACATTCCCATTATTTAATTGCAAATAGCTCTAATCATGACTCAAAAAGACTAAAAATTCAATACCACACACCCCCAAACCTAAACAAAGCATTGTCCTCAATGATTACAAATGAATGCAATGCAAAGTATGGCAAAGAATGGCATAGTATAAATACTAACAGAAAACAAAAACAAAATAAAGGATAGAAAAAAAAAAAAAAAAACCTAGTTGGGTTGCCTCCTAACAAGCGCTTTATTTTATGTCTAGGCAAGACATAATCTGAAGGTTAAGTGGCTGATGGTGGTGGTTAATTGAGAGTCTCAGTGACCTCAGGAGTTGGTTTATAAGCATTGTAGTATGGCTTAAGATGATGGCCATTCACTTTGAAAGTGTTCCCTATCTGGATGTTTTGAATGTCCACTGCACCATGAGGATAAACATTAGTGACAAGAAACGGATCATACCAACGGGAAAAAACTACCAGGGAAGAGCCTAAGGTGTGAATTGAATAAAAGAACTTTCTGCCCAATCTCAAACAACTTCCTATGAATTACTTTGTCATGATATGCTTTGGTCCTGTCTTTGTAAATTCGAGAGCTCTCATATGCATTATTCCTTAACTCACCAAGCTCACTGAGTTGAACACTCCTCAAATGGCCTGCCTCATTTAGATCAAAATTAAGCTTCTTTATTGCCCAATATGCTCTATGTTCCAGCTCCACAGGAAGATGGCAAGGTTTTCCATAGACAAGTCGGAAAGGTGACATGCCTATGAGAGTTTTATATGCTATTCTATAAGCCTATAATGCATCATGTAAGCGCAGTGACCAATCTTTTCAAGTAGGGCCTATAGTCTTCTCAAGGATTTTTTTTGACTTCACGGTTAAAGATTTCAGCTT